CAAATTTTTTTAGGTCTTCTTTGGAACAATTCAAGCTGCTCCCATTGATGACTTTAGCCATGGCCTCGAAAAATTTATTTCCATGTTCGGGATCATTAAGCGTATGATCTTAAAAATACTTTGTGGTACAATATTGGATATAAACAGCAGATTATGCCGCAATTTAAGAAGTTTTGATAACAATGATACTCTCATTGAACATGCGAATACTGAAGGTGTCAGCTTAAATCATGCACATACTGAAATAGAGGTCGCGCCACGTGGGTGTATTATATTACCAAATGGCCGAAAAATTTGCGAAACGAGATAGATAACTCGTTCAGTAACAAGTATTCTTATGTCTATATCATTTTGAGATTTTTGAAAGTATTTTAATAAATTATAAATATTAAACTTACCCTTGTATTTTTTAGCATTTCCTAAAACAAGCTAAACTATACCTCTCAGATCCAGGGAAGGGTGTTTAAGCTTCCATTTGTATTAAACCTAACCTAGCATCCCCTAAAATGTTACTAACATTTATAAAAAAATAATCCTTTGATTTTCTTTGTAACTTATTTTATAGTAATCGTAACCTTAATCGAGGATGTGCTGCAACAAGATGATTAAGGCAAAACTTAAGGGTTGTTACTCCTAAAAGTACGTTTTAAAAAGGTCCTTTTAATGGTACAGGGTAAAAATATTTCACAATACTTATATAAAATAATTGATGACGAACTGTCTGTGATTAATGTTACATGTAACGATAAAAACACTGAAAACTTTGTTTTCAAACTTCCACAAAATTTATTTTAAATTGTTATCACTACAGCTGTTTCGGCTGATTGGCTTTCTCAAGTGATCTAATTTTGGCATGCGTTTACACTTTATAGTCTTTAATGAAATAGGTTGAGGAGGTGAGAACTGTTTGTCTCAAGTTGGTCATTCAGAATTATATCTGTGTTTTTTAATTTGTTGATTTCCATAAATTCTAACAAAGATAGCTTAAGGCCTTTATTTTAAATGTAAAGAATTTTAAATTCGTCATTAAAAGCATGATTATGATCTAGAAGGTGAAGTGCGTATTAGGAATCTGTTTTTCTAATATTGAAAGCCCTTTTATGTTCTGCTATTCGTTAATTATAATTTCTACCAGTTTGACCGATGTAAGTTTTTGGGCAGTCGCCACATTTAAGTTTGTACACACCACTGTGTAAATGTTTTTTAATTTGTCTATTGTTGTTTTTATTATATTTGCTTAAGTTGTTATTTGTTCTGAAAGCTGGTGTCATTCCTTTCTTTTTTATGTGTTTGGCTATTTTTGTTGATATTTTGCCTGTAGGTATATGTAATCGAGCAGAAGGTACTGGGTTTTTTCTGTGGTGGTGGAAATACTACTTTCAGGACATTCTTGTGTAATTTTTGATTTAACATTTTATTAATTGTTTGTTCGTTGTATACATTGTTTACTGCTATTTGCTAATGATATTTAATTCTGTCTCAAAGTTGTATTTTGATATCAGAATGTCTGTTAATTTATGTAACATACTATGATAGGCTGCCAGTTTATGTTGTGTGGGATGGGATGATGAATTGCGTATAGTTGTGTCAGTATGGGTAGGTTTATGAAATATGGAGAAGTCATGTTTGTTTTTAAGTCTGATAATTTTTAAATCTAAAAAAATTATGGATTGATTTTGTTTTGTTTCTATTGTAAATTCAGTATGGCTTTTCTTATTCTTCAAGAGCCATCTTCGTTCCGAAGGTTGGCGATCATCAGGGCTATACGTATTTTCGAAACTGCTGACCAAAACAATTCGTTGTTGCTACAGCTATACCATTCCCGTAGATTCTTTAGCCAGAAGATTCGTCTTCTTCCTATGGACCTTTTTCCTGCTCTTTTCCCTTGCATAATTATTCGAAGCAGTTCATATCTTTCGCCTCTTGTAATGTGTCCCAAGTATTGCAGTTTTCGATTTTTTATCGTAAATATCACTTCCTTTTCTTTATCCATTCTTCTCAAGACCTCGACATTTGTGACTCTCTCGGTCCATGATATTCTCAGGATTCTGCGATACATCCACAGTTCAAATGCCTCTAATTTTTGGATATCAAACTTTCTCTACGTCAATGACTCCATTCCGTAGAACAGCACAGAAAGTACGTAACATCTCATCAGGCGAAGTTTCATTTCAAGGCTCAAATCTCTTCCGCAAAACACTCTCTTCATTTTAGTGAATATGGATCTGGCTTTTTCTATTCTTATTTTGATTTGTGCTGAGCTATCGTTGTCTTCATTTATAAAAATGCCTAAATATTTGTTTTTGCTAACTCGATCGATAATTTTATTGTGTAAATATAAATTTTGAACATTTTGTGTTGATATCGATATTACCATAAATTTAGTTTTCTTTATGTTCAAAGATAGTCCATATTCTTCGCTGCATTCTGCTATCTTATTCACCAATATCTGTAGCTCTTCAAGTGTTTCTGCGATCAGAACGGTGTCGTCGTCAAATCTCAGATTGTTTAATCTAACACCATTTATTTTAATACCTACGGATTTCTCAGTGAGTGTTGTATTCATTACGTCTTCGGAATAGAGATTAAACAGGGTTGGTGACAGTATACACCCTTGTCTCACACCTCGCTTTATTTCAATTTCTTCAGTGGTATTATTCTCTACTCTCACTACTGCTTTTTGATTGTAGTACATATTTGCTATTAGTCGAATGTCTCGTTTATCTAAATTCTTTTCTGTCAGGAGTCTGATTAGGTGATCATGCCGCACTATATCAAAGGCCTTGTTGTAATCTATGAAACACATGAATACATCTTGATTTATATCAAGACATCTTTGAGACATACCGTTTAGTGCAAACAACGCTTCTCTTGTTCCGAGTCCATTTCGGAATCCAAACTGGGTATTATTGATGTCCATTTCCAATTTTCTGTGTACTCTAGCGTGTATAATTTTCAGGAATATTTTCAGTACATGGCTCATCAGACTGATTGTACGGTAATCACTACATTGTTTGGCATTTATCTTTTTTGGTATATTAACAAAGGTGGATAAAAGCCATTCTTGTGGTATTTTTCCTGATGTATAAATGCTATTGAAAAGTTCAACTAAAATGTGAATCGAACCTTTTTCTATTAGTTTAAGTATTTCCGTTGGTATTTCATCTGGACCTGGAGCTTTACCATTTTTCATTCTTTTTAGTGCGTACATTACTTCCTCTTCCGTTATTTCTGGACCTTCGTCTCCTTGTATGTTACTTAGCTGAGTTTGTTGTCTATCATCTGCAAAGAGTTCTTCAATCTAGTTTTCCCATGTCTTCAACTGTTCTTCTAGTTCTGTTATTATGTTTCCGTTGACATTATACAAGGTATTTGGCTGCTTACGTTTTTGTGTACCTGCAAGTTCTTTCACTTTTTTATGTATATTAATATGTAAATATCTTATTATATATAATATTTTTATGTAAATATCATTTTTTGCCTGCAATTGCTCTATTTCTTTACATTTTTTGTTATAAAAATCTTCTTTTGCTATTCTGATTTCTATTTTGATTTCTTTCTGTATTTGTTTATACCTTTGTTCGTTTTTTTCCTTTCATTATTCTCCGATTGTCCATGAGAAGAAGGATCTTATCAGTCATCCACCTTTTCTTTATTTTTGGTTTTTCTTTAGTCAGAATTTTCTTCGCAGGACCTGTTATCGCCATTTTTACGTTTTACCATTTTTTATCTATGTTGTTCGTTGGCTAAGATGTTTCGTTTTCATGAAGTATTTTCAAATTATTATTAATACATTTTTGCAGTTTCTCCTTTATCTCCAGGTTACATAAATGACTGACGTCTATCTGATTTGCTCGTCTTTTCTACTCAAATCTTTTTAGTTTAATACTCATTTGCGCTATTAGAGGGTTATGGTCTGAAAAGACATCTGCGCCTGGGTAAGCTTTTATGGATTTTAAGGAGAAGGAATATGACTATAAAGTGAATTAATTTACGATAAACATTGGTCGAGTTGCCTGTTATTTCCTGTGAAACATACCAGTACGTCATCTACGTATCTTCACCAATATAAAAACTGTTTAAATGGGATATTTTGAAATATGGTTCTCTAGATGAACCATAAAAAAATCTGATAGTAATGGGCTTAGAGGATTGCCCATTATAAGTCTGCACTATTATTTTTGTATATTTGATTATTAAAGCCAAAGTAGTCCTGATTTATGCAAACTTTAAGAAGATGTAAAATTTCAGATGTAATAATTGGATTTGTACTATTTTGGTCTAAAAGGTTTTTTACTAGAATAAACATTTTTGTGTAAGAGAAGTACGTGGAAAAAGATTTTTTACGTCAAATGAAATTAATCTGGAGTAGTTAGGTAATTGAAAATGTCGTATTTTATTAACTAGTTCTATTGTATTGTTTATTGTAAAGTTAGGTGAAAATTTAGTGTGTTCTAAAATAATCTCTAACAGTTTTTTTGAAAGTTTATATGAGGGTGCTGTATAAAAAGAAACTACAGGTCTTTTTTGGTGATCCGGTTTGTATAGTTTAATGAAAGAGTATAATTTAGGCGGCTGTGGATTAGTGTAGATACATGATATTGAGGTATTTCTGTTCTGTTAGATTTACTATTGATTTTGAATTTTCTAAGACTAACTTAATTTGTTTTTGATGAACTTTGATGATGAAATTTTTAATGATGAACTTTTTCAATATATTTTTCTGTATACTCTGACACCTTAAGCTGTGGCGTTACTAGTTTTTCTCACTTAGATTAAATTAAAATAAATCTTTTGTTCATACTAGGTTCTTTTTATGTATAGCTATGTATATTTTTGTACTAAAATTTTGTGTTAGTTGGAACCAAATGCGATGGAACAAAAAAAAACGTTGAGAACATGTTTTTTAATGTTGACAATTTATTAAAATATGTAAACACATAGTCAAATCATTAAAAAATAACTAAACATATCTTTTGACATCACTTTTTATATTTCAGCTACAGACCTTTATTCCATCTGGTAACAATTCACACCACAACTGCCGGAGCTGAACCTTATGAGTTCTAGGTCTTAATCGAACATAGTTTTCCAACAGGTTTTTGATGGGATCTTTCGTTCTGGCGTACTGTGTTTTGTAAGGGATGATAGTTTTAAGGCCTAATTTATCATCATATTCAGATTTAGGATCATAGTTGTCACGTCGTTGAGAATAAAAATGTTTTAAAACTCCCTGGGACCTTTTATAGTTTTCACTCTCTCTCAGACGCTGATCATACAACGCATGCGTGGCTTTCGATATTACCTTAAATGAAAAGAGGACATTTTGTTTATAAAATAAATTAGTAATAATAATAAAAGTAATGGTGAAATTTAAAATTTAACCCGTGAGAGCTTTTTGTCAGTTCTTCTATCAAGCGCGGCTCCCTGCGAATGGGGGATGCTCTTTGGGTATCCGTAGCGCAGATACCTAGAGGGTAACAGGGATACCTGCCGTGGAACAAAAACTGACACGTGGAAGAAGGTATACAATGCACACTCATGATAATAATTATGTGAGTATAATAATTTATGTTTAGGGTCGCTGCCTGGGGATTGCCAGGGCATGTCTGAAGTCGGCGCTGGATGTGCCAGCATGCGGGACGTCGGTGGCTGGCTGTTGAGGAGGCGGGTCCTTGTCATACAATCAGCTACAGAACAAACAAGAACAACAACCACAAGCGAGACAAACAACAAGAGCTCTCAGCAAGAAGGTGCTGCGCTGTAACATCGGCCGGCACTCACTCAAGCGGGACGACCGAGGCAGCACATGAAATGGACTGTGTCCATAAATCAAAATATTTTGCGCTTTTATTATAAGGTGACAAACCTCCGTCAAGAAACCACTGGCTATCGACAAAATCTGTATGAATTTTGTCGAGAGTAGCAGATCAATACCGGGTAATTATCAGAAATAATCTCATCCCAGACACCAGACGCAATATCATCAGAAGCGAAGTCGAACGAGAGATTCATTATAAGGAGGTAGTTGGAAATTAAGCCCTTAATGAAATACATGGGCCTATTGCTGAGGTTGCCATACAAGAACAAGAAACTCAACCTGATAATACACAGCAGGATAACGAGTTGCGCGATAGCCTAGTGAAATGGCATGCGCTGTACAAGAATTTATTGGAACAAAACCACTTAGCAGACCACCGCCACCAAGAGTAAACTCTTGTAAGAAACTAGGTGTGCTTGTTACAAAGTCCTGTCCAATTATGTCGTAGAAGCCCATACATTGGAATATATTCACACGCTAATTTACTGTGCAGCAACAACAATTGATAATGTTATGGGCATTAAGACCAGAACACGACTGGGTACTAATATCGGAAGGACAGATAACAGAGTTGCATCTTGGGAAAAAGCTGCTAGCAAAAATTGAATCATTACGTAGAGACATTGGTCAAATCACGGAATATGTTTGAGAAAGTACAAGTAGAAGAGTAATCAGAAGAGCTGAAGAAATAATGCTAACCATCGCAAGACACTCACAATATAATCCAGAAAACAACACAATCAACATCAGTACAACTTAACCATAACTTGCCAGGGCCGGTCTCCGGTTATGGAATTGGGTGAGACGATTAGCTTGGCATTCTGATTGGATAGCGACTAAGCAGCTCCGAGACCATATTAGTACTATCTTCTTTCTTTAATGATGTCTCTCTAGTTCGCTTTGTTGTTATATTAGCAATTCCTTTTGCAAACGTCTTTCAAAATCTAGTCCGGTCTATTGTCTTATCCACAACAGCTATTTTTTGCAATGTTATCACATTATAATCTGCGAGTGTATGTTTTATTAAATTGAAAATATAAATTAAACGTTAAAAGAAATTATTGGTAGTACAAGTAAAATAAATTTGTAAATTTTGTAAATAATAAACAGAAATTCGGAGAGACAATGTTTTAAAAACTATAAATATTCCACAAAAAATATTAAGAATAAAATTTTCATCCACATTGCACATTGTGTAATAACTTACCGATAAAATTACGAAGAAAAATATAAACTTCATATTCACAGATGTTATTGTGAAATGAAATAGTTGGTGCTACGATAATCTAAATATAAACTTATGTTATCAACTAAATAATAAACGCATTGTTCTTTTAATTGATAGATAAGGTTTATTTTACTAACACAAGGAAAAAAGGGCTAGATATTTTTTTAATTCTGTAATTGTTTTTTTTTAATCCAAAGTAGTAAATTTAAACAGGCCATTCACGTTCCGATTTTAAGTCAGATTAGTGGTGTAACTTCCGCAGTTGGATCTGAAATCGGACCATGAGTGGACTAGTTGAATTAGTTGGACAACTAGTGGTCCAACAAGTCAGATCATCTAGAGGGACTTGAACGTCCGACTTCCGACTGGCGAAGAAGTGGGAGCGTGAATGGTGAACATCTGGACATCTGGATCTCCTATTTGCGTCCATTCGAAGCCATGTTAGAGTTTCTTCCTAAGACAGAAGATATTTATTTTCACATTCAGAGCGACTATGAATTGCCGTTCTGATGAAGCCTATTAGGCCGAAATATGCATAAGCGTATACCAAGCGCACTATACGTGAAATCAAATCTTAACTGTCTTTTTCCTTTTTTTTCTATGAATTACTTAGCGCATAGATCCCTAGTTCGCAAATATTTAATAGAAAATAAACTTTCAATTTCACGAAAATTACCCCTATTAAAATACACGATTATTCGTCATCATCTACTTTTTGTTAAGCAAATAATTTTCGTTTCTGTAGATCTATTTCGGACACTCTCAGACAGGTACAATTTTCAACACTTCGGATTGGCTACAGAAGAATTATCAACAAATAACGAAAATTAGATAATAGTTGTACTGGAATTAGAAGTAACTGTTTTTTTTTTATATTGGTTTTAAGTTATTTTCTTGTGACATTTTATGCAAATTTAATATTTTAATTGGAAATAAGCCTGAATATTAGTTAGAAACTAAATTTATTTGACGTTTTTTCAACTTCGGAATATTTTAATAACGATTTTCGAAGTGGAGGTTCAAACGTCAAATACATTTAAGTTCTAACTCATATTGTGGCTTATTCTCAATTAAAATAGAAGTAAATTTACGATCGCTTCGTAACTCATATTTCTTTCCTGTATACAAGTTGCTCCCTTTCGTATTGAAAGAGGCGTTCGGCAAGGAGACAACATGCTTCCTAAATTATTTACAACTTTGCTAGAATACGCTTTTAAAACAATAGTTTGGAACGAAAAGGGCATCAATGTAGATAAAAAATTTTTAAATAACCTTGAGTTTGTAGGTAATATCGTTTTTATTGCAGGCAGCTTTGATCAGGCACAGATAATGCTCCAAGAACTCCATACTGCCACAAAAAGAGTTGATCTTAAAATACATTTTTCAAAAACACAATTTATGACAAGTTTAGTCTAGATTAAAAACATATCAGTAGAAGACAAATATATTGAGCCAGTTGACTCCAATAAATACTTGGGCCATGAGATCAGAATAAGTCGAGACAACCAGAGCTGAAAAGAAGAATAAACCTCGCTTGGGCTGCGTTTGGGATGATAAAGGATATTTTTAGGTATAAGATTTTAATATATCTGAGAAGAAAAGTATTTAATCAGTGTATTTTGCCAGTGATGACCTACGGCGCAGAAACCCTAACATTCACAAGAACAACAATGAGTAAACTACAAACTGCGGAAAGGGCAATTGAGTGAATAATGTTAGGGATTTCTCTACGTGATAGAATACCCAATGCTACTATACGCAAAAGATCAGGAGTAGCAGACGTTATTGAAAGGATAACAACACTAAAGTGGAACTGGGCAGGTCATGTAGCAAGATCAGTTGATGACCGGTGGACAAAAAGAATTTTGTAATGAAGACCCCGAATACAGGCTAACAGAAATAGAGGTCGACCCCCAACGAGATGGACAGATAACATAAAAAGAGTGACTACAAATTGGATTCAGATGGCGCAAAATCGGACTAAGTTGGTTGGAGAGAGGTTGGCAACAAGTATGTACAGCGTTAGAATAATTTTAATAATTTTAAACTGTTTGTCTTTGTGTTAATGTAGTGTTTTGTACAATTTTATGTCCACTCTCATGTGTGTTACATTCTACGCTTGCTGGATAGCCAAAATTTGACGAAATGCCCCTGATGATGCTGTAGATAGCGAAAGTACTTGGGCAAGATTTATTTAAACATGTGCTCGATATTTGCCTCAATTTTCAAAGTTTTTTTATATTTCTTATATATAATATATAACAAGCGAGTCTTCTACAGCTGGCGCCGCTTTTCGCATCCTAATTTCCAGCGTTTTCTGTCGAAGCAATCTTCAGTTGTTAGATCTCTGGCGGTCATTGCATCGTCGACATCGTCTCTCCAGGATCGTCTTGGTCTACCTCGTTTTCTTCTAGTTGGCGGAGTCCATTCTTCTATTTTTTTTTGGCCATCTATTTTCCGGCATTCTCTGAAGGTGTCCATACCAGTTAAGTCTTTTGGCTTCGATTGTGTCTATTATGTCTAGATCGATTTCCATTTCTCTCCGAATATCTTCGTTTCTCACCCTATCAAGTCTAGTGAGCTGGCACCATCGTCTCCAGTAGTTCATTTCCATCGCCCTAATTTTTGATTTGTTTCTTTGGTTTATTTCCCAGAGTTCGGCGCCATACAGTCCAATACTTTCTATTATTGTTTTATAAATTCTTCTTTTATTTTCTTTTGTTATTTGTTTATTCTATAATAGTCTATGTAGCTAGCTTGTGGCTGATCTTGCTTGGCCAATCCTGGAATGCATTTCTTCGCTATATCCTGCTTTTGATGTTATTTGGACTCCCAAGTACTTATAATTGTCTGTTGGTTTTATAGTTCCCATTTTGATTTGTAGGCTTTCTGGTTTTTCTCCTACAACTAAGTACTCAGTTTTTTGTATATTAATTGTGAGGCCCCATTTGGTGTACTCATCTTCCAGTTTTCTAAGCATGTAGCTTATATCACTCTCGTCTTCAGCTAGAATGGCTTGGTCGTCAGCGAATGTATCGTGTACAATCTATCATCTCCGATTGGGATGCCCATATTGCAGCACTTTCTTCTCCACAGTGAGAGTGCCTCATTTAGATATATTTTGAAGAGTGTAGGTGCTATGCAGCAGCCTTGCTTTAGGCCCTTACTAATAGTAATTTCTCTAGTTAATCTATTTCTAGTTTTAATGTTTGCCGTCATATTTTTGTAGAGTTGTTGTACTGCTTGTATATATTTTTTGCTTATTCCTTGTTTTTCCATTGCTACCCAAAGCATTGAAAGTGGTACACTATCGTATGCCTTCGTCAGATCTATAAAGACTATATGAGTTGAAAGGTTGGGCTAATCTTTTCTCGATAACTTGCTTTAGAGAGAATATACTGTCCATGCAGGATCTGTCTGCACAAAAGCCATTCTGTTCTTCTACATCTGTCATCTCTTTTTCCAATTTTATTTTTTATTATTTTTCCATACAGTCTTGAGAGTGAATTTATGACACTTAGCCCCCTATAGTTTGAACAATTCTTTCTATCTCTTTTTTTGTATATGTTGTTAATATGTGCTTTTGTCCACTCCGGTGGTAAGTCGTGTCCATTATAGAATAAGGTGAAGACATACGCCAGTAATTCCCGTAATACTTGTGGGCTATGTTTTAATAATTCATTTGGTATACCTTGTGGTCCGCATGACTTCTCAATTTTTAGAGTTCGTATTGCATTCTCGACTTCCTGTACTGTTATTTCATCGTCTTCACTGAATTCCAGTTCATATGTTGTTGTACTGATGTTCGTGAATTGAGGTCTTGTTTCAGTCAAAAGTTGTGAGTAGTGTTCGATCCAAGATTTTTCTTCTATTAAATCTATTCTACTCGTTTCTTTTCTGTTTGTTCTTAGATTTTTTACCGTTTTCCATGCTTCTCTTGATCTTGTTGACCCTATATATTTGTTAAGTTCTTCGCATTTACTTTCCCAGGAAATATTTTTTGCTTTAGTTTCTAAGTTTTTTACTTCTCTGTTTGATCTTGCATATGTTCGTCTATCATCTGGATCATTTGTTTGCAGCCAATTTTGATATGCTTGTTTCTTGTTGTGTACTGCATTGGCGATGTCATTTGTCCACCACAATGGAGTATTCTTTTTGTTCTTTTGGATTGTGCCGAGTGCTTCGTAAGCTGCTTCATTGATTTTATTGATTGTCTCTTTATAGGTATTCTGGGCTGAGGAGTAGATCAGGTTTGCCAATTTTTGGCTAAGTCGCAGCTTATATAAGAATGATGTCGAGTCGTTTTGCAGTGCATCAATATTATATTTAGGTAGATTCGATTCCAGGGGTTTTGATTGAGCTAGGTGGTTGTCATTTTGATGTAGTAGCCGAGGTCGATACTGTAGGTAACATTTTGATCTTACAATATAGTGGTCAGTTCCGCACTCCGGTCCTCTTAGTACTCTTATGTCTTCAACTTGTATGTGTGTTTCTTGTTTTGTGATGACATAATCTATAATTGACTTTGTGTTTCTCGTTGGTTGAACCCGGGTGTACTTATATATGTTTTTATGTTGGTAGAATCCGTTTAGGATTTTCAGAGAGTGCTGTTCACAGAATTCGATTAAGTGTTCCCCATTTTCATTTGTTTTAGCGTCACCATATTTTCCTACGACTTTGTCATTTATTTTTGTTCCTGTCCAAGCGTTAAAATCTCCCAACAGCACAATTTCTTTACGGCTATTTATATTTTCAATGAGTTCCGATAAAGTTTCGTAGAATATTTGTTTAGCTGTTGTTGATGCATTTTCTGACGGAGCATATATTCCAATGATCTCGAGGTCGTGCCCTTTCCACGTAATAGATACTCTAATATTTCTCTCATTGATCTGCTCCCAGCTTTTCAGGTTTCCTTTTAAGTCTTTTTTTATCAATATTGATACCCCTGCTTGTGCTATTTTGTCTTTTTCTACTCCACTATAAATATGTTTAAAACCTCCTATGTCTTCACTACCTTGGCCTTTTTTTCTTTGTTTCGGTAAGAACCGTGATATCTGACTTTATTTTCTTTACTTCTGCCATGACTTCGTCTGACTTGGTTCTTATATTAATTTCTTATTATTATGGTTCTGATATATTTCTTATTTTATATAATTTTTATAACTTTCTTATTTAATTTTTTTTAACATAACCTATCTTACCTCTGAGCCACATTTTTTTAACCCTATTATTGGCGTATGTATACGAGCTCCTTCCATATCAGTTGGCCCACCTATGGAATTTGGAGTTAAAGTCGATTACCATAAACAAGACCTACAAGTTTTTATGCACAAAATCCCATATTACATTTTACAATATGGACTCAGTATAAACGTTAAAAAGACAAAGCTTATGATAATTAGCAAGAAAAGGATAATATAAGGTCAACTCTACGTCAAGCAACCCCCGTTAAAAGAGTGACATACTACAACTATCTCGGCACTATAATTAATGAAGAATAGACCAACAACCAGGAGATTAGAGCACGCATCGGAAAAGGTAGATCCACCTTCAATCGGATGGGGGTTTCTTCAAGAATCACAACCTCTCTCTTGATACAAAAGTAAGAATGCTGCGATGCTACGTTATCTCTGTCCTTTTTTATGGTGTTAAATCGTGGACCTTAAACGAAGATATGTGCAGAAAACTGGAAGAATTTGAGATCTATATCGGAGAACACTCAAGATAACGTGGACTGACATAGTCACAAATGAGTAGGTCCTCAGAAGACTAAATAAGAACCGAGATGTACTTACTACCATCAAATCTCAAAAGTTAGAATTCTTCGGACATATGCGAAATAAATCCAGATATAGTCTCCTTCAAGTCATCCTGCTAGAAAAAATATTTGGAAAACGAGGTTCAAGAAGAAAAAGAATATCGATTTTTTTAACGACTGTTACTTCTGCATGGCAAAAGTCTGTGGGGTTTTTAAGGAAGAACAAGCATAAAATTAAATTACCAAATATTCCCTCAACAATAAAACTGGTTGATCATGGAGAAGATTTACCAGTTACAGGACCCTGGAACTGGTAAATCTTCTGGCAAATGGAGAGGAAGATTTGGAAATATATGTCGATAAAAGTGAACCCGAAGATGATTCAGAAACGGACGTTTCTTATTTTTCCGAAAGCGATGATAAAGCAAATGGGGTGTTCCTCCAACAAACTGAATTAAATGATTTAGGTCGAATCCTTCACTTGTCCAAAGAACATGCTGAACTTTTAGGTTCTCGATTACAACAATGGAATTTACCAGCCAGTGGAACCAAAGTTACAATATTTAGGAACCGTAAACAAGAGCTATCGTCGTTTTTTACTATGCAGAATAAAATGTGTGTTTGTGATAATCCAAATAGTGTTATGGAAAAATTAGGATTTACACATAGGGTAACCCAGAAGAATGGCGTTTGTTTATAGATTGTTCCTAATCAAGTCTAAAAGCAGTTCTGCTCCATAACGGCAACAAAAGACCATCCAATCCTCTTGCGCATACAGTTGATATGGAAACACACGAAAGTATGTCGCTGACCCTAAATGCAGTAAATTATGATACATATAAGTGGCAAATATGTGGTGACTTAAGAGTCGTCGGATTATTACTAGGTCTGCAGAAAGAATTTACAAAATGTTGCTGTTTTCTTTATCTTTGATACAGTAGAGCAACATAGAGCCATTACCAAGTCAAATAATGACCACGAAGAGATCAGTACATTTCAGGTCAAGCTAACGTAATGAATATACCTACCGTTGATCTCAAAAACGTTCTGTTTCCTCCGTTACATATTAAACTGGGATTGCGAAGCTTAAATAAGGGATATTTATTGGACCACAAATCGGAAAAATACCGAGGGATCAACAGTTTGATGAAACATTAAGCGATGTTGAGTTAGCTGCATGGATTTCTTTCAAAAGAATTGTTTTCGAGTTTTTGGAGAAGAAAAAAAAAATTAACAAAATATTGTAAAAGAACTACATAAAAATTACTGCAAAATGGGCTGTTGCATGTCTCTAAAAATACACTTTCTGCACTTCCATTAAAATTTTTTTCCGCAAAATTTGAGTACGGTCATCGACGAGCAAGGGAAAAGTTCCACCAGAATATTCTCACAATGGAGCAATGCTACCAGAGAAGATGGGATGCAGCAATGATGGGAGATTACTGTTGGTTCCTCATGAGAGAAAGTGATACAGAGTATAAAAGGAAATCAGCGTTTACAAAGAATTTGTGTACAAAAGACTTAACATAGTTTTTGTTTCTAGTTTTGGACTTACCCCCCGATACAGCCATTTTATCAGTCGCAAATTATTTTTTTTAAATTTGTTGACTAGTGAAATTGGTGCAACCTACTTGTTCTCCTTATTTCTGCTGTTCTTTTCATTAGTAAAGAAAATATATACCAATGTAATTTTTTAAATGCTCGTTTATTATAATTAATTATTCAACAATTAAGCAAACTTATTGGTAATAATTGTATTAGTAATGGTAATAGTAGTGCCTAGATGGACAGGGATCGTCAATACATCCAGTAGAAGCAAGATGTTGATAGTATGCTGCGGATGATCTGGCAGTTCGTGACCTCAGAGGGCAGTCGAATTCCACATCGTATAAACCATATCTCAAACTGAAATATAGATAAATAAATATTCTTTTATATTTATATATGAGTTATTATAAAACTATAAAAAAATTGTACATATTAGATTATTAACGACATCTTACACAAACGTCCTGTAACTAATAATAAATATTATTTCTTACGTGTATCCTGCCAATCTTCCATCAATTAGGTTCCATTCAAATCCATCGATGTAACTGTAGTAAGTGTATCCATATACTCTGGTGTAGTCCTCAATCATTGAAAGTCTGACATTTCTCAGGATAGCCTAAAAATATTGGTATACGTATGTAAATCGAGTATACAAAAAAAATTACATGCAGCTTCATTACCTTAATATAATCAATTCTATCACAATCATAACAGTCTCTGGAACATGAGCCATATCCGTCATTAGTAATAAACACAGATGGGTTGTAGTAGTTTCTGCTGATCCATGCAAGAAGTGGTCTTATTCCGTAAGTAATGAACTCCTTAAACAAATAAATAAATGTAATACGTATAAAACTAAATATATTTGGCTTAACAAAATTTTCACATTCTTTTGTAAATTTTACTTACTCCATTACAGCTTAGCAATTCTACACCAACATCAGATTCATAACAGATGTTGCCCCAGTAATTGTCAGCAGCAGCTGTAACATAGAAAGCTGATTCGTAGGCAAGAGAGAAGAAGTCATGAGTGCCTCTAATGTATTCGATTTCTGAGTGAGAAAAGACTGGAAGTCTTGCATTGTAATAACCATTGTAGTCGCAATTTAGACGAATTCTTTCAATCATAACTTCTGGATAATCTCCAATATAAATAGGATGGGCAAACCAACCAATCTTAAACAAATAAAATATTAGTTAAGAAGTACACTTAAATTATATGTTAAACAACAAAAAGAGTGCATGTAAAAGTAAAACCTACGACTTACTTGGAATTGGAGTTTGGTTTCAGCAGCACATATGTCAGTATCACAAGCAGATTGAGGTTCATACCAATCGGAGTTAAGAGTAATTGATATCTTTCCTATAGGAATAAAAGAATAATAAAGTATTTTAAATTAGTTTAGATAAATATTGTCTTACCATTTTGACATGATCTATAGTAGTCATCGTATAAATGATAGGCAGCAGCATGGGCTTTAAGGAGGTTGTGACCGCAAATGTATTCATAATTTCCAGGTCCATCGTTTATACCAGGCGCAAATGTTCCTAGACCGTAGCCGTCTTTGCAGATAGTTGTTGGTTTGTGGAAAGTTATCCAATATTTAACATCATCTCCAAAGTGTTCAAAACAAACTCTTGCATATTCAGTGTACCATTCAACGAAAGATGAACAAAGGAATCCTCCTTGATCTTCAAGGGATTGAGGTAGATCGCCATAGTAGAGAACCACGATTGGTTCAATTTGATTAAGTTTAAGTAACTTAATAAGCGTGCGGTAATGTTCAATTCCGTAGGGATTAACCTCACCACATCCGTCGTATATGATTCTAGACCATGAAATTGAAAATACGTAATGCCTAACAGTCAGGTTGTTTAATAATTCGATATCTCCTTTAATATGATTGTATGCATCAGCAGAAATATCACCATTTGAACCTTCCATAACTATAGATGGCCATGTGTGCAGCCAACGATCCCAAATGTTTTCACTTTTGTAGTCCTGATTCCAGGCTCCTTTAAAAAACAAAATTTATTTAGTCGTGGTTAATTAAACATTCTGTAAATTTAGATATTGGTAAATTATTATTAATTTAAAAAGCAAATAAAAGATCTATGCATTCTTTTTACCTTCAATATGGTAGGCACCGCTAGCTACTCCAAATGAAAATTCTTTTGGAAATACGTCGCAGTTTTCAGCTGGTGGAGGTATAGCAGGAAGTGAGCCAGTGGGATAGTGGTGATCACAATCATCCCAGTAGTTAGGCCAGCAGTCTGGCCAGTAATCGTGCCAATTTTCTGGCCATTCACGGGGCCAGTCATTGGGATACCCATGAAGTAAATCAGCAGGCCAACCGTGTGGGAAATTGTCGGGCCAGTCATGTGGCAAACCGTGTGGGAAATCGTGAGGCCAGTCAGGACCGAAATCACGTGGGAATTCACAAGGCCAATCGTCTGGCCAACCATTTGGGAAATGGTGGGGCCATTCGTTAGGCCAAGCATGTGGAAAGCCATGAGGTAAATCATGTGGATAGGGGATTACGATAGAAGAAGTCTCACATGACTCAAGCGGTGGAAGGGGATAATGAGATGGTAGATGTGGTAAAAGTAAAGAAGACAATGGTCCTTTACGATATCCAGGATAGGGGTAGTCACAATCATCCCAGTAGTTAGGCCAGGAATCAGGCCAGAAATCTCTCCAATTTTCAGGCCAATCATAGGGCCAAGCATTAGACCATCCGTGCGGTAAGTCATGTGGAAGCCAGCCATGTGGAAATGTATTAGGCCAGTCATGCGGCAAACCGTGTGGAAAATCATGAATCCAGCCGTGTGGCAAATCACGTGGTGAATCGCAAGGCCAATCGTCTGGCCAACCGTTTGGGAAATACCGAGGCCATTCATTTGGCCAGTCTGGTAGACCATCACATAGTTCAGGAACTGGAAAATGATTATAGGGTGGATGAGGTACTAGTGGTGGACCTGGGAATGGTCCATGAGGATATTCAGGATATGAGTGGTCACAATTATCCCAATAGTCAGGCCAGGAGTCCGGCCAAAATTCCCGCCAATTTTCAGGCCAATTAAATGGCCAGGCATGGGGCCATCCATTTGGTATATCATGTGGAGGAAAGCCATGTGGGAACTTATTAGGCCAGTCATGTGGCAAACCATTTGGAAAATCATGAGGCCAGTCGTGTGACAAGCCGCCAGGTGGTATATTGAAAGGCCAATCATCTGGCCAACCATTTGGGAAATAACGCGGCCATTCCTTTGGCCAATCTGGTAGGCCATCACATGGTTCAGAAACTGGAAAATGATTATACGGTGGATGTGGGGATGGAGGATGATATGCTAGCGGTGGACCAGGGAATGGTCCATGAGGATATCCAGGATATGAGTGGTCACAATCATCCCAGTAATTAGGCCAAGAGTCAGGCCAAAACTCACGCCAATTGTCAGGCCAATTAGTGGGCCAGGCATGAGGCCATCCGTGCGGTAAATCATGTGGAAGCCAACCATGTGGGAATTTATTAGGCCAGTCATTTGGCAAACCATGTGGAAAATCATGAGGCCAGTCGTGTGGCAAGCCACGTGGTAAATCGCAGGGCCAATCATCTGGCCAACCGTTTGGGAAATAAAGGGGCCATTCATTTGGCCAATCTGGTAGACCATCACATGGTTCAAGACCTGGAAAATAATTAAAAGGTGGATGTGGTGATGGTGGATGATGTGCTAGTGGCGGACCTGGAAATGGTCCATGAGGATATCCAGGATATGGGTAGTCACAATCATCCCAGTAATTAGGCCAAGAGTCAGGCCAAAATTCCCGCCAATTGTCAGGCCAATTAGTGGGCCAGGCATGAGGCCATCCGTGCGGTAAATCATGTGGGAGCCAGCCATGTGGGAATTTATTAGGCCAGTCATGTGGCAAACCATTTGGAAAATTATGATGCCAGTCGTGTGGCAAGCCGCCAGGTGGTATATCAAAAGGCCAATCATCTGGCCAACCATTTGGGAAATACCGTGGCCATTCGTTTGGCCAATCTGGTAGACCATCACATGGTTCAGGAACTGGAAAATGATTATACGGTGGATGTAGGGATGGTGGATAATGTGCTAGCGGTGGACCTGGGAATGGTCCATGAGGATATCCAGGATATGGGTAGTCACAATCATCCCAGTAATTAGGCCAAGAGTCAGGCCAAAAGTCACGCCAATTGTCAGGCCAATTAGTGGGCCAGGCATGGGGCCATCCGTGCGGTAAATCATGTGGGAGCCAACCATGTGGGAATTTATTCGGCCAGTCATGTGGCAAGCCATGTGGAAAATCATGAGGCCAATCGTGTGGCAAGCCGCCAGGTGGTATATCGAAAGGCCAATCATCTGGCCAACCATTTGGGAAATACCGCGGCCATTCGTTTGGCCAATCTGGTAGACCATCACATGGTTCAGGAACTGGAAAATGATTATACGGTGGATGTAGGGATGGTGGATAATGTTCTAGCGGCGGACCTGGGAATGGTCCATGAGGATATCCAGGATATGGGTAGTCACAATCATCCCAGTAATTAGGCCAAGAGTCAGGCCAAAATTCCCGCCAATTGTCAGGCCAATTAGTGGGCCAGTCATGAGGCCATCCATGCGGTAAATCATGTGGTAGCCAGCCATGTGGGAATTTATTCGGCCAGTCATGTGGCAAACCATTTGGAAAATCATGAGGCCAGCCGTGTGGCAACCCGCCAGGTGGTATATCGAAAGGCCAGTCATCTGGCCAACCATTTGGGAAATACCGTGGCCATTCCTTTGGCCAATCTGGTAGACCATCACATGGTTCAGGACCTGGAAAAGGATAATGATTTGGATGATGTGGTAGTGGCGGAGATGGTGGGTGATATTCAGGATCTGCAAAACTAAAAGAAAATATTTATGTTTATAAAAGTGGCAAATTCAAAATCAATTCTTCTAATAAACAATTTTCTATTTTATTAGAAACAATAATTAGGACCGAATACCTCAACTTACACCTGTTTCTTAATTTATTGATAACAGTGGTTAAACATATTCTTTGAACAAAAAGGCTTGAAATAAATTTATTTGCAAGTAAACCTAGAAAATAGGAAAACTTGTTTTAAACAAACATTTTTTTGGACTATTTTGACTATATTATCAGTTTCAAAGTTATTTTGAAATATTATCAACTACATAAATTTTTGTTGTTCGTATAAATTAAGTTATTATCCGAAGAACCAGCTAACATAGCAACAATGTCGTTATTTGATAATACGCTGGTCAAAAAAATGCAACACTATGCGGTTCTTTATTTGGATCAATAGAATTTCCCTGTAATTCGTATCTAAAAATTTAGATATTAAAATTCAGATACGTAGTAGAATATTCAAAGGTCGTGATTTTCACCATCTTAGACTTAGTGCTCTTAGACATAGACGAGACAGTGTACATAAGTAAGAGATGATTTTAGTTTCAGCTTTAAGAACGGTAGTCTCGAGAAGAACAGTTAATCAAATATTACTTGGAATAAGACTGAGAGCTTACCATCCACTTTTGTTGTTACCTTTGACACCACAGCATGAAGTTCGACGCTTAAAATGGTGCAAAGCTCGGCAAAACTGACATAAAAATGAAATTTGTTTACTAATGAATATAGATTTTGTTTGGGTGGCTCTGATGAGCGCATAAGAATAAGACATTTTCGAGCTGACAGATAAAATATAGACTTAGCTGTTGAACGTCATACAGCAAGACAACCAAACATTATTGTATTGGGCGCTAAAGTTTAAGAAGCAGATCACCTCTAGTTTTTATTAATGGTACTCTGACAGCTTGGAGATATATTGGTGAAGTACTGCAACCAATTTTACATCCCTATCCACAAACTATTCCAAATGCGATCTTTTAACAGTATAACGCAAGACCTCAAATTGTCAGTAAAACCATGTAGTTCATACAAGAATCTGGTGGCCATCAAGATCAGCTAATTTGTCATCCATCGAACATGTAGTTCGAATGCCTAAATCCATTGGCACGTTCTCTATCAAACTTCGAAGACCTGTGGCATGCCATAAAAAGAATGTGAATTCCGCAATATTCCGCAATATTCCGCAATATGATATAGACCACTTAGTTCGGTAAATACCCAACTATAGAGTGACTGAGTTCATAGAAAATCAAGGAGGAGCCACTGAATATTAACATTTTAACGACAATGACGTTGCAAACTTGTTTATATTGATATTAAATAATGAGAATAGTATAATGTATACTTCCGTACATACATATTTAAAAAAATATTTGTGCTTCTAGGTGATGCTTTTTTGTTGGTTAATCAGTATACTAATACTGATTTTTCTGATATTTTTTTACCATCTTTATTTATTGTTTCCTTCAATTCGTACACTCTAGATTTTACTTCAAGGTCTTTTGCACAAATCTGCAAAATTTTTTCTTTGAGGTGATTAACGTTTCTATCTATTTATCTAAAAATATAATTGTCTACTGCTGCACTTATGCCTTTTTAAGTTTTTGTCACTTCCCTCTATGCTGTGTCTTTTTATCCAGGTTCTAGTGATTCTATTAATGTTGTCTCTTCATCTGCTGTGTGACTTTTCTCTGCATTATGTTTATTTTTGTATAATATTTTGTGTCATAGTACGGCAAAAAAAACTGACAAAAGTAGATAATAAATAGCTTCTCGTTCACTACTAAATAATGAAGACCATGTTGCTCAAATCAGCAGCTTTATTGGGGGCGGGTAAGGATAAAGATGATAGTATAGTGCAGACCAAAGAAAATAGATAAACGATAGATAATACTTAGAAAACAAAAAATAACAGTTTGACAAAGAAAAAAAAAAGAAACACAGAATGCAGCAAAACTCCAAAACAAAATTGACGCTAATGAGTTCTAATCTGAAACTCATGAAGGACTTAAGGTTAAATAAACTAAACATTTTTCTCAAAGACATCAGAAAAATACGACAGAGAACGTATCAAAGAATTATCACAAAAAACTAAGATTTGACATATTTACTCATAAGCTGTAAAAGATAACATATTCAATAAAGTACTTTAAAAAGGTTAATATCGTATCTACAAAAATAAAATTATATATCTTAAAAAATTGCATACTAATACTCAGAAAAACTACTTTACAAATTCATGCTAATATCAAAAATTAGCAAACATGTATTTACTAAATAGGCGAAAAACGTTTTAATATGTAAATAGGAAATTTGAATAATCTAACCCCAAACATAATTTATAAAGAAAAAGGGAATTTTAAGTACATACATTCATACGTGTCCACAGAGATAAAACGAATAATTTCTAGAGTTAGATAAAAATAAAGACACTTCTTGTGCAACCTAGAGCACACAAAACTAAATAACATTGATACGCGTTATGCTCGATGGCACCATTGCTGAGCTCTGATAGATTATGGGCATAATCATTCATAGAGGTGAAAAGCACAATAAAAAATAGGTACTATATAGGGATCTATGGAGGAGTATCTCAACGAGCAGCAAGCCCTTATCTCTTGCCGTACTGCTCCTCCATAGGCCGATCAGACTCCAGCATATTCTAGTCTATGCCGCAGATTCATTTAGAATTTTAAACTGCTGCGTTAGCCTTTTTGTTTTCTTGTGTCTAGCTGTTTTGATTTCTGTACACCGAGCTAGGGATCGAACTCACATCCACTGAACCACTCGAAGTGAAGCGAATGAGAATCTGCCGCCCAGCCCGCTTGGTTATCTGACCGACAAGAATAAATAAAAGAATAGATACAAAACAACAGAAAAGAAACAGAAGAGCACAACTTTTCAAGTGAGGTATTCGTAACACAAAGAGAAAAATGAAAATATAATAATAAAAGACGGAAAAATTCAATATATCAAAAATATTTAAAATATTAACGGCAGCAAATATCACAAAGTAAAAATCATTAAATAAATATCTTTTCTTTGCTTCCAATGAAGCAGTTTTAGTAGTAGTTAGTAATAAATAAATAAATTTATTATATATATATATATATATATATATATATATATATACACATATATATATATATATATATATTGGATTTGAAATTTCCGCGGGAGCTATATGTGATTTCAGATGTTTTCCGGGTTTGACTCAGCGTTAAATAGTTTTGGATTTTAGAAAAACAATTGTTTTGACGACGTTTCGGCAAGTTCACACTTGCCATTGTCAAGTCAGATTAGTCCTGCTTCGTCTTGATGTTTCAAGAGAACTGTTGATCAGTTCTGATGATAGTTAAAGAGAGTTAAATTATTTTTAAATAACATTTCTGCGACAGCAATGGTAGAATGCTAAAATGGCAACATGTGACTACACTGGATTTGCTAGCCCTTCGGCGAATTATCTCTGTGGACTCCTTGATAGGAAATATTGTTTGAAATATTTAAAACAGTCATTCAGAAACTTTCTGTGATGTAACCCTCTAGGTTTTTTTATTAATATACCTTTTATAAAGATTTTTTTTAATCAAAATTTTTACTTATATCAAACAACAAGTTTACTTATACCAAAAGGTAGAAACGTCTTAAGAGTTCTAGTATTAAGAGAACAAGGAAAGAAAAGAAGAAAAGGGCCACGAAAGAAGTGGTTTGATGCAGTCTGAACTAACAGAAGAAATGGAAATAAAAAACTAGAAAAAACAAGTGAAGGACCATAAGAAGTACAAAGTATTGAAGTACGAAGTAAAAAGTATTTAAAATAATACAACTAATTTTTTGCAAAACAATTGATTATAATATACACTGCAAAACTTTGAAGATTGGATTCTAGTCCTAGATAATTAGTAAATATATTTCACTTAATCTTAATTTTTTATAATGATAAATAAGACATGACTTACTTGAGATGAAGAGCAAGTAGCAGCGTTGCAAGAATTTGCAACGCCCGTACCATCTTGACTGTGTTAGCGAGACGAACTTGCCCACAATGCCGGTTGATGCTCCTGATTATGTTTTTAAACAAAATTTTTTAAATTGTTATTACTAATGTTCGTGTTAAAACTTCCCTTAATCATCACGTAGGGACATGATAAGAGTGTATCTAAGTTGGAAAATTTTATATTTCTTATCTAAAAATGGAATATATCGTTTTTTTTTTCAGTTTTTAATCAGTTTTTAATAATTTTTACCAAACGAAACTGATAGTGAAATATTATTTTTGCTTAGTTAAATTAGAGATTATACCAATACACGATGTATTGATATGTCATAAATTAAATCGCGCATTCCGGGGACAAAAATAAATTGATTGAATCCAACTTACCTTAGTACAAAAGTGTACACAAAAAAATTACAGCACTTTGAAGTTCTTCTTCTTCTTCTGGTAGCACTACAACCCGGGGTGGGTCTTGGCTGACTGCACAAACTGCTTCCATCTCGAACGGTCTCCATGATGTTTAAGTCAGTGGGTAGCACCATTGTTCTCAAATCTGACCATATATATTATCTCTCCATCGCAATCGTGGACGTCCTAAGGGCCTTCTCCCTGTCGGGACTTCTTTCCAGATTAACTTGGTAAGGCGGTTATTAGGGAGCCTATGAACATGGCCAGCCCATCTTAGACGTTGGGATTAATCTCTTGGACTACATCGCTAGCACTATACATTTGTTTGACCTCGGCATTTGTTCTCATTCGGTATTGATTAGTATTCGGATCGTGATAGGGACCGAAGATCTTTCTGAGGATTTTTCTCTCAAAGCATCTGAGTTTACTTTCCATTGCTTTTGTCAGCGTCCACGTCTCACACCCATACATGAGCACTGGTCTAATTACTGTTCTATATATCCTGATTTTTGATGTTCGTGTTAGGCTCTTGGATTTAATAGTGTTGTGGAGGCTATACATACATCTGTTTGCTGCCTGAATTCTCCCTTTTATCTCTTCCGTGATATCGTTATCTGTGGTGATAGTCGCTCCGAGATATTTAAAACTCTCCACTCTTTCAAAGTTATAGGGGTCTATTGTTACATTTTGTCCTATTCTGTCTCGTCTCTTTTGTCTGTTAATGCACATATATTTGGTTTTCTCTTCATTGACCCTTAGACCGGTATTTTTTGCCTCTCTCTCTAATTTATTGAAGGTTTCTTTTACATTGGTGACGGTATTTCCTACAATGTCAATGTCATCCGCGTATGCTGGTAGTAATTTTGGTCCATTTACTGTCAGTAGTTCTGTTCTAATTTGTGCGGTTCTTACTACTTTTTTCAGGATTACATTAAAAAGAAGAGGTGACAGCGCGTCTCCTTGTTTCAGTTCACTGTTTATTTCAAACGACTCTGAGAGCTTGTTACCTATCCGCACTCTAGATCTACAGCCATTTACACAAACTTTAACGAGCTGGATAAGTTTTTTTGGAACTGAAAGTTCTGCCATTGCATTCCACATCTGATCCCTTTTAATGCTGTCGTATGCTTGTCGGAAATCTATGAAGAGATTATGAATAGTTCTATTGAATACCCATCCTTTTTCAAGCAGCTGCCTAAGAGTAAAAATCTGATCTATGGTCGATCTATTTTTTCTGAATCCGGCTTGGTATTCCCCTATGAAATTTTCTACAAAAGGTGTTAGTCTACTTAATAGGATTTTCGATAAGATTTTGTACGCTGTATTAAGTAGGGAGATACCTCTATAGTTAGAGCACTTGGTTTTGTCTCCCTTTTTATGGATAGGAATTATTACACTTTCGTGCCATTTTGTAGGTATTTTTCCTTCGTTCCATATAAGTGTTATTAGTTTGTGTAATTTTCTATGTAAAGTTTCTCCTCCGTACTTAAGAAATTCGGCTGGTATATTGTCTGGGCCTGGAGCTTTTGCGTTCCTCAATTTGTTAATTGCTTGCAATGTTTCGTCTATTTTTGGGTACTCTACCGGTAGGTCCACCCCAAGGTATATATCCTCTCCATGTTCTTCATCTTGGTGTATATTAAGTAAATTTTTTAAATATTCTTGCCATGTTTGGAGTAATTCTTGTTCGTTGATTATTAATTCATCATTATTTTTCCTCAGTACAGACAGGCAGTTTGGTCTGAATCCTCCCTTTTCGTTTGACACAGATTTGTAAATTGCTCGACTATTTGACTGTTGTCTTTTTCTTTCCATTTCTTCATACTGCTGTTGTTCGTATTTTCTTTTTTTCTCTCTAATTAGTTTTCTTGTTTCTCTTCGTGATGTTGTATAATTTTCTTTACTTTCTGTTGTTTCTTGTTGAAGCATAATGTTTCGCTTTTTCTGTCTGTCTTGTAGTTTTTCTTGGCATTCTTTATCAAACCATTTCCTTGTTTTCGTCTGTGTTCCTTCTGTGATGATATTCTCAACCTGATTTTTGCTCTTACTAGGTAATGGTCTGTATTTCCATCTACGCCCCTGAGGCTTCTTACGTCAAGGACATTACTTCCGTGTCTAGCATCAACAATTATGTGGTCAATTTGGTTCCGTGTGGAGTTGTCATTAGAGACCCAAGTCTGTTTATGAATGTTTTTATGTTAGAACATAGTAGACTTTACAAGCATATTGTTAGCCGATGCTGGCTCTACCAGCCTTTGTCCATTATCGTTTGAGATATCGTGGAGATTGTGTTGTCCTATTGTCGGTCTTAGGTTAAGTTCTTTGCCAATTTTTGCGTTGAAGTCTCCGCAGATTATTTGCATGTCTTGTTTGGGAATTCTCTCCAGCGTTCTTTCAAGTTGCTCATAGAAGTCATCTTTGATTGTTTTTTCTTTATCTTCTGTCGGAGCATGTGCGAATATAATTAAGATATTGTACAATTTTCCTTTCAGTCTAATATAACACAGTCTCTCACTCATGGGCGTACAACTTATAACACTGTTTAAGTATTCTTCTCGGACCACGAAACCTGTGCCGAATTCATGTTTTCCTGTCTGGTTTCCACTGTAGAAAATGACCGCCTTGTCTATTCTTATGTTTCCATTGTCCGGCCACCTTATTTCTTGTATTGCCGTAATGTCCATTCCTACTTTTTCTAACTGTTTTACTGCGTGTATGGCTGCTCCTGTCCGGTACCAGCTTAAAACGTTCCACGTTCCAACATTCAAAGACTTTGTCCATTGCGATTGTCGTTTTACATATGTATCTGTTCGATTCCGAGGCACATTTGCAGTTTTCATAACAGGCTGTTTTTTACAAGGACAGGTTGTTGGCCTTCCGCTTAACCCTCCTCCTTTATCCAGGCTTGGGACTGGCAAGAATGACTGTTAAGCTACTCGATCCATCCAACAGTCATTCCAGGCGGAGTTTGAAGTTACAAAATGAAAATTGTTTTTTTTGCATTATCTCCTAAACCGCTTGACATCTTGCTATAAAAATGGACAGGTTATTTACTTGTTCTGAAAGAATTTTTCATAAAAAAAAACAACAAAATCTAAGCGCACCTTAAAATTTTAAGAGGCTGTGCATCCCTAAATCCCCCCAAACTTTTGAGTACGTTCAAATCAAATAAATTTTGTGGCAATATTAGTTTAACATATTATTTTTAACACGTTTTTTCTTAGTTGGCCATAAAATTACAATTAGTTTCTACGATAATTACAAACAGTTCCATTAATAATAGTCAATTATTTGAAGCTATCATTTATTATGTGCATAAGATTAATATTAAAAAATTTGATATTACAATGGTCTACACATATTAGGAAATGGCAGATATGCATTTAACTTTGGATAAGTTGGATCAAATTAAATTATGATTTTAATAAATTATCGGAAATATCGTAGGTGATTGTCAAGAAAATAGTGCAGCAGCCGCAAAGTGTTATGCAATAAAATACCCCAATCGAAATACACCCGATAGATAATTATTTCTGACCATTGATCGTCGTTTGCGGGAAACGGGTACATTCCAACCATTGGCAACTTGCTGGCAATAGTGGTCGTTCGATAATGGATGCAACTGATGAAGACGTTTTAGAAATCATTGAAGAAGACCATGGAACAAGTACAAGCCTAATAGCTGCTCAACTGAAATGTTCCTCACGTATGGGTTTGGAGGCGTTTGAAGGATCAGCTACTTAAACATTATCACTCAATAACGATTGTTTTTCTTCAATATAAATGAAACTGACCTCAATCTCGGCATTACAAAAAAAACAATAGGTATAAAATTTATGTTTTTACATTTTACTAATATTAGTGGTCTTTTACGAGATCCTTTCCATATCAATTGGTCCACTTATGGAATTTGCAGTTTAAGTCGATTACCATAAACAAATTATACCCTGCATGTTTTTATAAGTTCTTATATTAATTAAAATGGCATTTTTATTAATATTTATTAAAAACATTACCCGTATTAAGGTAATATGCTATTTCTGTAATGTTTCGAGAACAGAATGTAGTCTATTTGGATTCTTACTATATCAATCAAAAGACTGATATTTTTTGTACACACTTATGACAAGTCGAAAGAAAATGCAAAAAAGTATTTTTGAAGTGTGTATATTTTAGGCAATTCCTAGCTGAGCGCTTTCGGCTTTACAAAGCCATCATCAGAGCTATGGTCAATTTTTAAATACCACTACAAAGGAGAGACCTCATTTCCTTAAGTTTCACAATTATGATTTTGTAGGAGTTGGAATTTTTAAAACATATAAAAAACATATAAAAGGTCGACACTGGACGTCACAAACACGTTAAAAAATTGAAAAATTTTTTTGTCATGGTACGGGTTTAAGACCCGACCATCTATTGATGTGAGGATGTAGACTGAATAGCTGACTATTCAGTCTACATCCTCACATCAATAGATGGTCGGGTCTTAAACCCGTACCATGACAAAAAAATTTTGAGAAAGCACTTAATAAGGCTCAAAGGATCAAAGATCAAAATGAACACCTGCAGTTCCATAAAACATCGTTAAGCGAAGAGACACTGTGGGTGAA